CGTGTTAACGAGTTCTCGCTACTGTGTCCTGGCACAAAGCTCGAGACAAGACATTAGCACACATCTTTGGTACTTGTGCTTCCGGGTCATACTTTCTCAGCTTTGGCTGTCCTCATCGATTCTGTCCAACACCGTTGTGCATTGTGGAAATGCTACCAACGCGAGAGTCGGCAAGATCCTGCAAAAATGTCTTAACTCTTAAAACAATTGAAGTGCTGGCACCTGGATAGGGTTGAGAGAACCTACGTGTTTGGGGTTGCGGGTTTATGGTCATACTGTTCGGTCCGTGCTCGACCCCTACAGCTGGGTCCTGACAAGTATGGATCCTTGGAGCTGCAGTTAGGCAAATTACACGTCTCAGGAAGGCTTCGGGCGTACAGAGTGTGCAGTTCTAGCCCGTAAACCCCTAACCCTCCAGGTACCTACTATATAGGGCCCTAGGGGCTCTAGTACCCTATATAGTAGGTACCTGGGGGGTTAGGGAACCATCCTCTGGCTGGTCTCGGATGGAGAGTTGCTGCAGAGGGGAGTCTTGGGCAGGAAAGTCAATAAGACCATCGGCTGAGCTTCAGGGAAATACGTATGCAAAGTACAACACCAACCAGACTGCAACACTATATCGCAGCATCGGTCCAGGAGGCACAAGACCTTTCGTTGCAGAAATTGTGGGTTGGACTGCCGTGGTGGCTAGTGGCTAACTTAAACGTCTACCTAAGTCTTGGTACGGTCCTTTCTTTCCGACAACCTTCTCTACCAGTATCCATACACCTCAAGGCTGCAATTGTTTTCGGGTCGCACCTTCTTGACCGCTTTCTTGTTCAGCGCTTGTGACTCGCTTCCGCAGTCCAGGCCTTGCTTGACGTAGGAGCACAGAGATCTTTGCGCCGTGGGGGCGGGGGGGGGCCTTTCGCGCTATAGATTTTTTATATGAGGACTTGCGGTTTCAAGAGATAGGTAGTGGGTTCAATGCTTTAGAACTTTAGATTTGGATATTAAGGTCTGCTGTTTCAGGAACTCGGTTTCCGGCTTTCAGAACATGGGATCAGTAGTCATGTGTCTCTACACGAGGAAACAACCTGCAGGACAATGGATCTAGTGGCAGCTGAAGCACCGAATTGCCCAGGGAACATGCCCCGCGACAAACGAAATACAACTTCCTGGCCAAGAAGGCGAAAAAGCCACAGTGTTCGAACTGTCTAGATTCTAGATAGATGTAGCTGCAGCCAAAGACAACCACAACCACAAACAAACCAACGCACGCACACACACACACACACTCTCTCTCTCTCTCTCTGTCTGTCTCTCTTTCTCTCAGTCTCTCACCTACTCAGGGACTGACTGACCCTCTCACTCACACACACTCACACACACACACACACACACACACACACACACCGGCATCCATCTCATGCCAAAGATTCCTGAGAGTCGGGCCCATGAAACCATCAGGAATTCCCTGGTCCTTGCAGCTGAGGTTCTGAATGCATGGTTTAGGGTTCAGGTGTTCGGGTCATGGAGTCGGGGTCGAGCTTTGAGCCTTGGGCCGTGCAAGGGGTTGTTGTTTTTATTCGACAGTGCAAAAAACACATGGCGTTTTGACCGGGGCAGCATGACTGCATCGTGATGCCGAGCCCTCGTTGGCGGCCTTGGCGTAAGGGCGTAAGGAGTGATCCATGCCGGCGGCAGACTCGAGCAAGGACAGGCCCAACGATGCGGGCTGGGAGGGGAAGTTCAAGATGTTGCAAACCTTCTGACTGAGATCTCGGGTAACAAGTGGGCCGCTGCACTGACGTCGGGTTGGAGATGCAGCTCTGGCCAATGACGTTAAGTATCAGTAATGACTCGGTGGACTGTAGCTTGCTATCCTGGCAATTGCAATCATAGAGACCGATGCTGTGCAACCTTTGTGCTGCTTGCTTGGCTTGGCCACCGTCTGGATGGCCACGAGAGACATAGAGAGACATGTATGCACATCTTGCATATCTGTAACTATGGCCATGCTATCTTCGTGTGACATAGGTCAGGAAGGTGGTCGTCCGTGCATTTGCCGAAGGTGCACAAATTAAACAGACATGCAAAAGATGGAGAAGCCTTACTAGTTGGAGCTGAGAACCAGGTCTGGGTCGATTTGGGCTTATATTATAGTATAATGATAACATGGAGCTAGAAAGTGCTGGTAATGATTCAGGCCCCGACAGTATGTAGCATAGCGGTAGCAATGTTGTTTTCTGTTCAGGCTGGTCTCTACCAAAGACAAACAAGCATGCGCACACACACACACACACCAACACATACGCTAACAAGGAAGCAAGCGAACAAACGATCACAAACAAACAAACAAACAAACAAACAAAAAAGCAAACCAAGGCTGAGGCTTGACAACTTGAAGACTTCTGTTTAGCTGAAGAGAACCAGTCCTGTGCCTCGCATGCCTCTTCCATGCCTCTTTCGTCCCTCGGTCTACCCCAAACGCGTGTTGTTGCCTGAAACTACTTCTCATCCCGTTCAGGGTTTGGGAGTTAGGGTCTTGGGGCATAGGGTTGGGCTCCTTGGTCACAGTCTTGATCTCACCATCTTCACCAAATTTGCTGGAGACCTAGGCAAAGCAGCTCCGCTGTTGCGGCCTTCCTGACACCTTTCAATACTGTATGTATATACATAGATATATATATATATATGTATAGATATGTATTATTAAACATTGCAAACCTTGTGTTTACTCATTATCTGCTGTTATATATATATACATTCGTGCACATATATTTGTATGTATGTATGTATGTATGTATGTATGTATGTATATATATATATATATATGGGGTAAACAAAGGGGGATCTATGTATGTATGTATGTATGTATGTATGTATGTATGTATGTTTGTATATGTNNTGTATATATATATATATATGGGGTAAACAAAGGGGGATCTATGTATGTATGTATGTATGTATGTATGTATGTATGTATGTTTGTATATGTATGTATGTACGTACGTATGTGTGTATATTCTTATCTTGCAGATTACGTCTTGTGTCGTTCCTCGCTGTACTCTCTTCGAGCAGTGCCGACTTTCCACCATCGCTATTCTCGGAAAGTGTTGGTCTGAGGATGTGACGACAAAGTCGACGGGCAGAACAATTTCCACCTGATTGTGACGGAGGTTGGAATGTTGGATGCAAGGCACGAGCTCGGCTGTTTCCATTCTCCATGAATGCAAACCCAAACGCCCTGGCCATAGGATGCGCTAGAATACCTCAGACATCCTCTGGCTACGGCCTATAGAGCCTAGGCAGGAGCTTGCTGGGACTCCGGTAGCTGCAAGAAAGGAGGATATGTAATGACATAGGAGGGTAAAATACAAAACATTATCGCATACTATAATACAGCACGATATAGCAAACTATAACAGAGTTCATCCTGCAACTCTCTGGTAGCGCTGTGTCTGTGTCTTTCCGCAGCCACACTTGTGGCCTTTCCCGTGCAGCTCGCATCCGATGCAGAAGTAAAGCGAGCAGGTGCTCATCTCAGCTTCTGGCGCCCTTCTCCTTCGCCTGGCTAGAGGGCTGTGGAGGGACGAGCAGCACAGAAAGTGGGACTGGAAGGTGCTTCTGCCGTGCCGATTTGGGGGTGTTGCAAAGAGGGTTCGGACAACCTGAGATTGTTCTGGAACTGGCCCGCTTGGCCCCTTGCGGCTGCAATCATCCGGTTGAGTGCGGGTGTGAGCTGGCACTCTCTTGGTTGCTCTCCCCCGAGCCAAGTCAGCACCCTTCGTCCGGACGAAACTTGCTACATGCTTCGGTCGAAAGCTTAGACTTCGTTCCCAAAAACATGTCACTGCTGCCTTCTCCATGATCTCCGGTACGATTTTCGCACCTTCCTGGCACTCATGGTTCCCAAAACATGGGCACCCGTCAGCAAAAACTTAAGACTCAGAAACAAAATGTTGAGCATGGCAAGCCACACAGCCTTCGAAGGACTCTGCACTCTGCACAGCCTTGCAGTCTAACACCTGCACCAACACCCCAGCGTTGCTTTGTAGCGAGACTCGCTTTTCAGACTACGAAGAATAGTAGCCAAAATACTTCTGACACCGGCGATGTTAACTCCCCCCTTGTGTCCAACCATGATGAAAAGACTGGCGTCAAAATGGCAACTCCTGGCACTCCTGGCCTCATCGAACAGTGAGTTCCCTATCTGCATCCCATCGTGCACCTTCAGGAAAGTGTAAGCCTCGGCAGCTGCGTCTTCGGAGAAGCTGGGGAAATGTCCCTGGGGTGACCAACCTAGTTCAGCTCCCTGAACTTTTCACATGTGCAACATGCAAGAACGCTGTCAGTACTTGCTTTCGGAGGTTGGTTGCGATACCTTGGAAGATGAGATGGTTGCTCTCATACGACCATGGCTATGAGCATTGATAGTATTACTAGTCGTCTGACTGCTGCTATACTTGCTGTTTCGACGGGACCGTGATGGTGATTCTCATGAACACTTTCCGACTGAAGAACCATGATGTTGATTCTGCTGATGGTAAGCCACGAAGCTAGATCTACTGCACAAACTGTTTCTACCGAGTCGAGTCGTTGCTAGTCCTAGAATACCGGCCGGACAAGATCGATGTTAATCCTCGCGGTTATGATTGTGATGCTTATACTGATATTGATTCCTGTTCTTCGTGATACGCGCAGTTGCTTTAGTCCTTGGCACCATCCTCGGTCCTGACAATCGCCTACCGGAAACGTGGAGATTTGGACAGGGCTTTGCGGTCATTCTGTGCGAGGATGTTGCCGGGTTGTTCTTGTAGTCTGATCTGCTTTGTCTCAGGCCAGAACCATTCCGCCTGCCACGCAACTCAGAAGATGCTGGCCATCAGTCCCATGCGGTTTCAGGATTGCTCAGACTTCGATCATGGACTCGAAATCGAAGACACAGTACGGACACGCGGCTGTTCGAATTCAACAGACCGGCGCAGCAAGGTCTCCGTGCAATATCTGCCACATGCTTACGCCAAAAGCTGCTCATCGTGAATTCCTGCAAGCTCGGCTGAGTTCGATCGCAAGGCTTCATTCTGCTCATAACAAAGCGATTCGGCCTCCAATGATCATCATGTCGACCTCCGCTGCAGCATCGCATCGTTTCAGGCACATCCGTCCCAACTCCACGTTAGCAATGTCTGCAGCATGCTTGCCTACGGGAAATACACCCGCCGCTCAATTCCAAACAACAGATGAGCAAACGCATTGGAGACTTCTTCAGCTGGCAGCCACATTTTTCGACTTCATTCGCAACCCCAAAACATGCAAGCACCTTGTCCAGCATGTTTTTGATCAGCAGAATCTTATCGCTGACCTCCAGGTGTGGAAGCTAGCTGCTAGCTCATGTCTCGGGGAAGGGACGGGCAGCAAGTTATTATGCTGGGAGGAACACCACAATCAAATCCCCCCGCAGGCGAAACACAAAGAACAAGCGCAAAAACAACAAACTGCCTTCGCACCACCGAGGATGGCCAGCAGTGGCTTTCGGGGCTTGTTCAAAACCTTGGCAGTCGGTCTCTGTCTGCGTGATTGCACTTCGTTACGACATTGTGTGTTCCGTGCAGTACTGCACTTTCCTCAACAAGTATCCTATACTGTAACTCCTGGCTACAATAGACGATTCTAAACTGTACTTCATGAGGGTGTTCTATCAAAAGCGATGCACTCGGCGATATCAGAATCATGCCTACTCTCACAAAAGAGCCTTTGTATCAGGAAGCTGGCCACAAGAATGATATACCTTGCATGCGGAAACCTACCGCCCAAATCCCCGAACGCACTTCGTATATAATGAACAGACATTCATACATATACACATATTACATGCGCAGCATACATACATTACAAGTTTGTCTTTTTACCGCGGTGGTCTTGGCTTCGCTTCTATGTGGCTCCGGAAGGTTTCGAAGCCGAGAGTTCCGGCTCACACGGTAGGGGAGTCGGGTTTGAGGGTTTAGGATCCAGCTTAGACTTTAGGGCTTAGGCTTGGGGCTTAATTAGTGGCTAAGAGGTGGGGCGTCAGGAGATTGGGGCTGTGCGACGGAGTAGATGAACAGGCTTATGGACCACTCGAGGTCAGGGGTAGCAGCTAAAGAATACGATTTCTGTTGCAATTGGATCCATAAGTATGAGGATGCGACTGGATTCCTGCACATACATGTCGCAATGAACACCTCCACGTTGATTTCTCGATACCATCAAAGTCTGCAACACGGAAGTTAAACCCAAAACAGATCACAGCACCGTGTTAACTGGCAGCTGTCCCTACGCAAGAACATGATACTAGTGAGAGAGTGCACCACGCATCGTCGACACGTGATAAAACCATGGGCTTCTTCCTATGCCGTCTCGCCCGTTGGATGCAGAGCTGATACGCTACATGCAGGCACAGCTCCAAGAGGTTAGAGTCAATGTCATGCGCCGAAACAGACGATCCAAACAGAGAAATCAACAACCTCAGCAAACAGCCAACCCAAGTATCTAGCTTAAACCCTAACCTTAGAATACGCCCCATAGTATCCGTACTCTGAACCCTACAAACCCCCAGTCGCTTGAAACCTATTTCCCCGAAAACCTGACCCTCGCCTTGCCGAAGGAAGCCAACTCTTTGCCTCGGAAAGTGGCGTTCGGAGTGGATTAGTGGATTCCGGGTTTAGATCTTGACGGCTTCAGGCTTTCACGGTGCTACAGGCCTACTGTGAAGATCTACGCGGTGCACCGGTTAAGGGATTACAGTCAGCGGAAGGCGCTGTGGGGTGTACCCGTTTGGAGCTTAGAGGGTCAGAGGTGTCGCGCATCTACAGCCGCAGTATCATTTGCAGTAAGCACCGCAAGTGCTTCAAATCGAAGAAGACTACAACCCCTAAACCCTAAACTCTAAACCTCTAAACCAAAACCCCCTAAACCCTAAACTGGCTACTACCGGTAGAAGCAAGCTTCGGATCCGCCCTGAACCCTCGGACCCTGAACCCAACAAGTTCATAATTCCCTAAACCCTCGAGCCATTAACCCCACAGCCCCAAAACCTTCAACCCCAAAGGGAAACCATAGATAACATATATATCCTAAACGCTAAATCCTAAACCCTAAATCCTAAACCCTGAATCCCTAAACGCTAAACCCCTAAACCCAAACCCGGGGTTAATGACTATATCCTAAACCTACCGTCTGGCACCTGGAGCCCCGGGCCCATCAGAAAGCCGGCCACCTTCGTTTCGAAGCCATCGCCCACCATGCTGCTGTGCGCCTAAGAGCTACGGCAAGGCTTGAGACTTCAGACGGGTGAGTGTATCTCAAGTTTGTACCTACCAAGCATGTACACATAAGGTTGTGTATGTGTACACATTATATATATATATATAGATGTTATGAATACATACACACGTACAACCAAGACAAATCATTAGCATGCCACGCTGGCAGGCATTGCATACGTTTCTGTAAAAATTTGTATATATATATATATACATATATATATATATATCTATACACACACTCTTATCTATATATATATATATATACACATACATGCATACAGACGTGCATACATATCTATGTTTAAATACAGACAGCTGAATGACAGATCAAGCTTTACATCAAGATTGTTACCGGCCACTCGGGTGTCCAAGATTTGGCACCCACACCTCCAGCCGCGGGAACCGCAACAGCAACACTCTTGTGGGCAAATCGAAGAACAAGGGCGCAGCCATTATAGTATATTATTGTATATTATAGTATATATATATATAAATTTAAAAGTATATATATATATATATGTATACAAGTCAAACGGGTTTGACGGGGGTCTACAGGCTCTCCTTGGGCCTGCGTTTCAGTTGGTCCTTCTGAAAAGTTTGAGCTGACACAAACCCAGACGGCGAATCAGAACAGGCTGAGGTCCGAGCCCTATGTGCCGTCCCGAAGGCATCATTCACATAGATGTCGCCCAGCTTGGCCTCTTACAAGGGCCGGGCCGTGATGCCAGAATGCTCCTCTCAATTCCAAGGCGACCTACCTAACTCACAAGACCCTGAAACCCTAAACCCTCAAACCTAGAAGCTTAGATCCCTGAAGCCGGGAAGCCCTGATGCCCCACGGCTTCATGTAGAATAGCATGAAACAGCCAATATGTGGACAGCCCAAACCCAAACCGGAATCACCCAAAGACCACAACCGACCCTGAAGAAACTCGGCTCGGTCGCTCACCAGCGAGGCTCTGAACTCTTTCACTTTCTCCGGATCTGCCTTGCAGGTCGGAATTCGCTTCGAGCTTAAATTATGAGATGGTAGCAAGACAAAAGCAAGCTTCATCAACAGCTCCACCAAGACGACCAAGAGGCAATCTCTTGCTGATCTCATCCAACAATGCCTTCACCACCGTCGCCAGCCGCCACCAGGCGGAACCAGCATTCTCTCGTTGTATGAACCATCGTCATCATAGTTACCATCATATAGTCATCCGAACATTGATCAACCGTAATTTACACAAGTGCGGCATGAATGTCTGATCTAAGGTTTTGGCCTGCAGGCGAGGTACCTCACCATTAACACTACTGCTGTCCAGTTTAATTGCGACCATCTTATCACAACAACGACTTTCTTCGGTGCCGGAAACCAGTCCAAGCAACTCCAACTGGACCTGTCTTGTCTTAGGACCTCGTGCGTGCCCTGTCGCAGACTATTGCATACCTCGTCTCAATATTTACTACGTGACTGTTCCGGAAAATTACTCGGTTGGTCCTGTTTATTCAATGTGGGCCTCTGTTCTGTGCAATCTCGAGTAGCAAACTTGTCTTTAACACCATCATCACCACCATCCACAAAGTCTACCATGACAAGGAATCATCATTGGTCCTATGACACCTTCATAAGCATCATCATCGTCAGCAGCATGAGCACCATGATCGTCGTCCTCGTCGTCGCCACCACGGCCGTGATCGTGCTGAATATCACCACCATGTTGTTTTAAGTCTAAGCATGCATGCTGGTTTCTAGCTAGCCGTATCAACTGCATGCCTTACGCAACTTGCGATTATATCGCTGTTCGTCTTCCGACCATCTCTACTCCGTCCGTAATTGTCATGTTCAGGTGCTGTACACTACTCTAGTTATCGCTCCGGCTCGTCTGCTTCTAAACGCCTCTCCGGCTGGACGCTGGGGCATTCCGCCTACCTGTAGTCTCCATTGTAGTTCCGTTTTGGGGTTACCTTATAGAATCCTTAATATAGAACTGGTTAAACCAAAAAAAGGAACTACAATGGAGACTATAGGTAAAGCTTCATCTTGCTGCGGGCTCTTGGGTTTGAGGCTTCGGGGGTTTGAGACTTGACACCCAGCCTTCTCTTTCGCCTCGTTTTTGCCCTCCTCCTCGATGTGAAATCCTTGTCGACGACAACGCTGGTAATCGTACTAGCGCCAGAAAAGAAGCAAGACACATGATAATATCATCTAATCAATTTGTCGCAAACTGAGCATGGTGTGGCACTGTAGTACTAGTACGGCTAGTGCAACGCAGTGCATGCTGGACCCGCTACCGCTACTCCAAATCCTGCATTTTCACCAGAGTCCTAGAGCTTAACGGCTCAGAACCGAATTGTCCAACGGTACGTGTAACGAGTGAGTAGCTTTCTATCAGTACAAAACTAGCGGGGTTCATGAATAGACGTGCGTGCATATCACCACCATCACTACTACGAGTACTATATGGGAGCTTCCGAAAATAAGGGGTACCTTATTTTGGGGTCCTTATAATTGGGATCCTACTATTTATTGTACTATATTAGGGTCCCCTATTTTTGGAAACCCGCATATTCATGCCCGGGTATATTAGTATCCTAAATAATAGGATCCTTATTATAAGGACCCCAAAATAAGGTACCCACATTTTCGGAAACTCCCATATTCATGCCCGGGCACTCAGGTTCTCCAGGAGGATGACGGAGCCTGGCTCCGGATCTGCGCATGCTGCCTGGACACTGAGCCACGACTTCCGCTTAGGGTTTAGGGTTTAGGGTTTAGGGTTCAGGGTTTAGGGAGCTGCGACGTTAAGTTTTCTTGCGTGCTCAAAAGACAGATATCGTACCAACAACCATGATGGCAAAGGCAATGATAACACGCATAAATGCGCTACGAAACATCGTGCATCACGATTCATAACGATGCGGCAATCCTTTGGAAGTTTGGAGCTTAGGGGGTGAAGTCAGTTCTTTTCGGCTTTTGCAGGCGTGAATGCACAGGATTTGGGGGTGATGGCTGGCATAGGCTGTTAAGCTATTTCTCGTGACGGCATGTCAGTCTTAGCGACAACGATGTCGAGGCCGACGACATAATCTGCATCGATCGCTCTCACCATCTTGTCAAGATCAGGGGTTTCAGTGTCGTGTGGACAAAGAGTCAGGTGGCAACATGACTTACTCATACGTTAGTGTCACCATCTCCATCACGAGCACACCACCATGGTCACCATCACCATCGTTGTCCACGTCGACATCGCTGTCATCATTGCCATTATCATCAACACCAGCAACTCTTGTACCTTTGTCCTTCATGGCCCGCTTTGCGGCGCAAGCCAGTCGGCATGGCAAAGTGCCCATTCGCCCTTTCGTCATACAGTCACACAGCTGCCGGCCCCGCCATCGTCCAGCTCATGCAGACCACGGCAGCATGTATGCGTTGTGAGCGGCCGTCATGTGTGTCTTTGGCGCACTGGTCGACTGGGAACCCGGAAGCATCGCTCACTTCGGAAGAGGCTCCACGCATCAGCAGCATCATCACCACAACTACAATCGTCCGTACCGCACTTATGATCGGTTGGCCATTGCGAAGGTCGTCCTTGTGGTCGTCGTCGATCGCGCAAGTCTCGCTTGAGTTTTCTGGAATCTATCGGTGGTGTGCAGTGCCTCAGAACCATGCGCTATATGCACTTCAAAACTGCCGCCGCCATTGCAACCCGACATCATCACAGGTCCCGTGCTAAAAACTGAGTGCCTCACCTCGACTTCGCTACCCACGCAATCTTTCAGGAACAGGATGCTCTGCCCCAGGATCCTTGCAGTTTTAAGCGTCGTCTCAGGGAGTGGGGGCCCAGGGAAACGTTGTTGCCGACTCAGGGCTCTCATGTGGGGGTTTCCGAACATGGGGGACCCTAATATAGTACCCCCAAATAATAGGATCCTTATTATAAGGACCCCAAAATAAGGTACCCCTAATTTTCGGAAACTCCCATGTTTATTCTTTCCATGGGCCTGTTAATGTAGGGGCCTTAATCATTCGAATAGGGTTTCGGGTTGTACTATATTAAATGCTATATTATGGAGCCCTTGAAGATATGACACCGAAGTCAGAGCACGCACAGCAGTAGCCTGATGACCCCCGCCCGTTGACGACTATTTTCTCCAATTTCATCGAACCTCCCACAGTCTCGGACCTAAAACCCGAAAGCCCAATGCCTTCCAACTAACCAACTAAAGCTTCAGAACATGCAATCTCCAAAGCCCAAGCCGGCAAGCGCAAGCACCATCGAAATCCGCAAGGCGCATATCAAACAATGCAAGATAGCTGCGTTTGGGTTTAGGATTTAGGCCCTTTTAGTTTAGGGTTTGGGGCCAGGGTTGAGGAGTACACCCCAAAGTAAGCGCCCTGCTCTTCAGCCGCTTTCGCGACGGGTGCCAGCGAGTACTTCCTGGCTCTCGAGGAGATGGTTGAAGCCTCTGACACGCCTAGAGTCGCAGGTATAGGACTGGATGTTTAGGCTTCTTCTAGGGACCCCGAGCTGTTTCAATGTCCTTCATTGATGTGCCAACGGGTGTTTTGTCTACGTGGGTGATTAGTTTCGACCCGGCTCTTTGAACAAGCCCCAGTAGCATCAAGCGGCTTCACTGACATGCCAGAACAAACACCCCTCTCCAACGTGGCAGCTTCACTCTACCACCTTGCCGTCCGGCCGTCCAAGATGCGAGCCTCGGCGTTGAACTCGGAATAGGTTTCTATGGATGGGTTTGGGGCTTATAATATTGTTTAGGGCTTAGTAAGTTTAGCGTTTAGGGTGCCATTCATCAGCATTGTGTAGAAGGCATGTGAAGTGCAGGCAATGCACGAGAACCAACCGCGAGGAAGCATGGAAGAGTGCTGAATGCTTGTGTGGGGTCCATGTGCATTGTGCTCTTAGTGCCATGGTGCACTTACATAACTCTGGAGACATTGCTGGTTTTGGGGGTTCAAGACTGTTGGCGGGTTTTGAAGGTTTAGGGGTTTAGAGATCGAGGCTTGTGGGTCGGATCGTAGGTTGCGGTTGACAGGAAGGCTCTGAAGTTGAATTCTTCATGCAGGGGCGGAGAAGAGCAACGGAGCAAAGGGCAGTCCTAGCAGCTAACAGAAGCTTTTCCCTTGGCTCAGCTTCCAATGTCTCTTGAATACAACCAGACCCTGAGACCTAAGCGCCGAACCCTACACACCTGGCGATGCGAATAGCGGATCACATGTAGACCAGCTCTACATATTCAATTCCCGCTGAGTTTCCAGTCGCTTGTGAAAGGCTGCCAGCGACTGACTTAAGCATCCAACACGAGCCCGTTTCACCAATGCATCACCGCTCGACCACGTACACCAAGCAGAAACTATGCGACACACAGCGGAAGCCTCCGAACCCTCAACCCGATGATGCCCCTGCCGGGAGCCCGGCAGAGAACTACTGATTTGGCGCCCTTCTTCAGGCAATGTCGGATCGTCGGCATCGCCTCATCTAGCACCGCCCTAGGGATGGAGAGGAAGGGAACTCCGTGCGCGGTTTATAATCATCGGGAGCCATTGACACAGGGAGAGTCAGGGATTCAGGGGTGGTGTCAGCGCGCTGCTCAAGCCTGTTTTTCATCGTGGCTGCTTGCATGAAGAGTAGGGCAGCCTCCCACGCTTACATGAAACGACTTCCCGAGTCTCCTCTTAGACAGACCCACCTGACTAGCCTATCCCTATCCCCGCGCCCATGATCTCTCGGCGGCTCAGTTTGCTAAAAACAGGAAACCGAAGCACAGAAGTTTTCGTAGGCGGACATGGGACGCAAGAGTTGGCCAGGCCCAAGCCCAAAGAGTTCAGGGTTTCGTTGACTTACTCCGAATCACAGTCAAAGATTCTATCTTGCAGTGCCCATCGTTTTGGCCAAGTGAGCGTTGTAGTTTAGAAGAGAGCAATACTCATCAACCCAAAACTGACATCGCTCGATGTGCCAGCTGAAAGCGCTTTTCGTGCTCGAGCTATCCTGCGGCTTCACACGATGAGACAGAACATGACAAACGCTTATGAACCAGTGCCCCAAGGTAGCTACCAGTTGAGATATATGCCAGGTTCAGTACCCTTTCTTCTCGGGCCATGTGGCCTGGTATGCTTGGTAGGGTGCAGGGACTCTGCCACAAGCTTTATGTAACCTGGGATGCCAGGCGCCATCGATCCGCTGCGTGTTCGTGATGACGCTGGGATCGTTCTTGTCCTGATCCGAAGAGCGAAAACGACGACAAGCGGTGTCTCTTGCTGTGTCAGTCAGTCAATCCATCAGTCAGTTTGCAAAGCTCCGAATGGATTGGAAGACAGGAACTGCAATTTGCAAGCTGAAGAAACTGCGATGAACAACCGAGAACCTGGCCAACTCTGGCAAAATATTGGCCGCAACACTATGGAATATCTCACAAGTTGCCGGCATGGAGAATCGAGCCATATCCTAAGAAGCACGTGTGGTTGGTCCCTAAACTGTGGTCAACTGCAACTCGTCAGTTGCACAGCAATCGTGAAATAGGAAGCTCCTCCAGGAATAGTTCAGTTCGAACCACTGTTTTGAGGATCCAGGAGCTCAGGAGATATGGGGCTTTGCGGTTTGGGGGCTTTGGGCGAGAGACGCGGCTACTTCACATCTAGACAAACACCGCATGCACTGCGTCTCCTGGGGCACATTGAAGTCCACCCGGATGAAGACCTGGGTAACACGGGAGCCAGACAGGACAGCGCTGAATCTGCGTTCCATTCTCAGCCCAGCATCGCAGGCTTACCTGCCAAGTTCAGAATTACAAACTAACAACCTGAGCTAAGCGCAGAAAGGCTTCGTGCAGCAAGGCGCTTGAGACATTGGGCAGCCAATTGGAGATCTCCCCCCTCGCTCCCGTTACCTGTTGCAACCGGACCGAGGCAGCAGCTCTCTTGCCCTTCACGTCCAAGTCCTTCAGCGTCATCTTTCCCATCGCCTGTGCGAGAAAGGGGGCAACTTAAGATTGCTCGATGCTGGAGGGGCAGAGGACGCGCAGTGTTGGCATGATGGTCGCTTGCGTGCAGGCTTCCAGACGCCGAGAAAGCTTTTGCGACCATCAGATCAGGCAGAGACAACAACACTCGCACCAACAGTCCTACAACACCAGCACCAGGTCTCCACGTCCCAGGCTGTCAACTTCTCAACGCTCCTCTCTTTCTTAGTTCCTCCAACACAAACAGAAGTCCGACCTCCCGAGTAATCCTGCTGTTTAGGGTTTGGGGTTCAGGGGATTTCAATCGTTTAGGATGACTTAGGGCGAAAAAGGGACCCCCTGAGGCCACGGCCATGTCTGCTTCAAGGCCGAAGCTCCAGCCGAAGCTTTCCCTAAAAAAAATTCCCGAAACCACTGGAAAATACACTTGAGATACCTCTTTTTAGAGAGAGCCCCCCACCCAAAAAAAAGGCCCCAAAGCCCTAAAGCCACTAACTTAAGTCCTGACGTCTTGGCTTCTTGGGCCTCCTAAGTTCTTCGAATCTCGAAGCTTGAGCCAAAGCTGCGCGCCGATGCAGGGGGCGGTAGACATAGAAAAGCGAGGATCCATACGGTTCAGGGTTTAGGGCTCAAGGGTTCAGGGTTTAAGGGTTTAGGGTTTAGGGTTCAAGGGTTCAGGGTTTAGGGGTTTAGGGAGTTTAGGGTTTAGGGTTCAAGGGTTCAGGGTTTAGGGGTTTAGGGAGTTCAAGGTTTAGGGATCCCCCAACCCTAAACTCTAAATGCTACAGCCCTAACTCTAAGCCCAGGCCATGGCCATGTGTGGTAGCGTCAGAAGCACTGGCAGCAGCAGCAGCTCTAGTAGAGTGCGAAGGGGGGCATAAGTACAGAGCAAGAGTAGGAGGAGGAGGAGGAGTAGCGCTTGCCCTATAGAGACTATAAAACTTCGGGCTTGAGGCTTTGGCCTGAAAGCTTTGGGGAATAGAGAACCATCATGGTATATCAACCCTAAACCCTAAACCGGTTTAGGGTTTAGGGCTCAGGTATATCATGGTGATCTTGGGCCGCAATTGAGACTTGCTGTGGTTCTGAGGATACGGGTGTCGTCAAAGACTGCCGTTTCGGTCTTGGGGATACATATGTTGAGACATGAAAGTCACACAGAAATCCCAAAACGATAATGCTCCTATCATCTTCGTATTCACAAGCATCCTCGCACTCATTAGCCACCTCATCAACTGAGTAGTGTTTTGCATTCTGATCGAAAACTTGACATATTGCCGGTCTTTCCTGACCAGTTCAGTTTCCACGACACGATCGCGGAAGGTTGAGAATTGAATAGAGTGTCGTCCTGCCTGCTTCTTCACAACGAAGGTGCGACGTAAACAATAAAACCCAAGGCCTAAACATTGAATCCCCTGCCATGAAGATCACGTAAGATCATCAACACCTAGCCCCAAACCTAGCCTCATCAATAAACCTCAAACCTTCATGACAGTGAGGGCGGATGAGTCGGAGTTGGAAGACCTCATCAACCCAGGAGCTCTGGACGTCGGACTGCTCGATCAAGATGAGTGCATTCTTCCGCGGGGCCTTCGGCGACGGAGCTCTACCTGTAGTCTCCATTGTAATAGAATCCTTATTACAGAATTGGTTAAACCAAAAAAAGGAACTACAATGGAGACTATAGGTAGGGTTGTTGGGGGGTTGAGGAGTTGTTTATGATTATGGCTCTGGAGAGGCATCTTTCAGGGTTCGATTTGGGCTTGACCTCACTCCCAGAATGGCGACTACAGCGCTTGGAATTCTCAATGTCCCACAGATGTACCACCAAATAGTGAACACAGAACTCACGTATCAAATATTGAAAACACTCCGGCGCTGCCTGCTCGCCCAGCTTGGAGCCGACCATGTACTTCTTCTCGAAGAGCTGCTGCCGCTCGACGAACTTCCGTGCGTTCCGTAGCTCCTGATCACATCCGTCCGGTTTGTACCAGGTGCACTTGTGTGTGTGTGAATCAGCCGACTTAATGGAAGCATGCAATCCCGAAAAGTGGGTTGCTAAGACTTTGACCAGCAACATGGTCATTGCTTCTTCGCGCGACCGGTCTCAACAGCACCTGCTGTGGTTTGACTCACTGTAGGTGGCTGTGCATGCTAGAAGTGGCGGTGGAGCCCTGGCAAAAGCAGTTCACTGAAGACGTCTCCTCGTTCATGAGCTCATCAACGTCCTTGATCTGCTTGAGCAGCGTCTCCCGCTTCGTCTCTTTGCCCTGGCCGACACAGATGGTGCAACAGCAAAGTGACAGGTTACAGGTTCCACAAGGTTGGGAAGGCAAGAGCCTTGCAAATAACCATAGGCCATAGGCCATAGGAAGGCACAGCTCTACCATGGCGTTTTGTCGCCACGGTATCTGCTTGAAGGGCACCCCAGTTGCCCTCCATCGAAGTTCCGCTTGCGCGGCTCTGTAGAAAGTCTGCATTAGGCAGCCTTGCAGCCTGCGGTCGATCCGGTCTCCCTCCCTCCAATTCTCAAGGCAAGCAATGCACTAGGAGCCCCACGACCACAACTCCTGTCTGTGTCGATTCGCCACATCATTGCTGACGATCCATGTTCATGGAGTTACATTAATTGTGCTCAGGACATCTGGATCTATGAGCTTTTGCTGCTAACAACCTTGTACATGTTTCATGCACTCGTAGGCGTTGGTCGCCCTAAAAACGTCGTCGTCGTCGTCGCTCTGGTCCTGCTAATAACAGTGGTGCTGATACTGCCGGTGGTGCTTCTGGCGGTGCTGGCGATGCTGGTGCTGGTGCCGTTGGGGTGGTGCTGGTGCTGGTGCTGGTGCTGCTGGTGCTGCTGGTGGTGGTGGTGGTGGTGGTGGCGGTAGTGACCGTTGTACTTGCAAGGATCAGACGCAGCAGCAAACGTACACATGGGAGACATATACACGCATGCACCCGCGAACAGAACTGCATAATTACCTAAGTCGCAACAGATACACTGAATCAGCCTATCCGCTAGATTTCTGGGCCTCCTTCTTCTCCAGTTGCTTCAGAAACTGGCCGGTTCTCTTGGTTGCCTGCGTAGAAGCGGCAGAAGCACGGAGGGGTCAGTTGACGCTAGGATCTCCCCAGGCGATGGCTAAAAAGCGCTAGGGCTTCGAGTCTTAGAGGGTTTACCTGGGGTTTAGGGCTTACGAGGTGTAGGGTTGTCTTGTGTCTCGACCCTCGGGTCGAAGTGAGACATAAGCCAGCCACCTAGCAGAGGCTTGCTGCCTTTGCAATACATCGGGAGTGGTTGAAACAAGGTTTCGAGGTACTACGACAGTTCCCGGTCTTCGAATCGCCCCTTGAAAAGCCATGGCCCCATTCTCGCTCTCGATCGTTCACTCACTTGCCCCTGGCCGACTCGCTGAACCCGGAAGTGCAAAAAGCCCTACGAATCGCAGATGCCTGGGCTTTTAATCTCGTGTCTCAACCCCGAGATCCTAAGCCTGCAAAGCTCCACCGACGTCGAACCTGGGAAGTCTGAAAAGCCTAAGGCCTAAGATCTTCGAAAGCCTGCTTGTTCATCGTCTTCAAGAACTTGAAGAGCTCAGTTACCTCTTTTCGTGTCTTCGAGGTCTTTTCGCACTTGCCTCGCAGGAAGCAGTCGTGACGGGATGGACGGGGCCGAGGAGGGTTCGATTCGATATGAACCTGCAAAGCACTGATCCTTGGACTCCTCATCTCTCCCCTGGCCCGAACTGTCCAATGATGAGTCTAGGCTTTAGAGTTCGGAGATCTTTGAAGAATACGTCTTGGGGCCTTTAAGATGTCGTGTGCAGTGCTCCATACTTCAGAAAAGCTTGCAGAGATCGAAGACGTCTGGCGTCTGTGGAGGAACGAAACCTTCAAACCCGATCTCGAAGCGGTAGTGCAAACCCTTTGCTCGATACCGTCAACACCTGAACCCCCAAATCGCGGGAAGAAGCCTATACTGGCCTATACTGTACTAGACTATACTATACTATACTATACTATACCATACTAGACTATACTATACCCTTCGTTTCACAGCATAAACCCAAGCAGGTGCAAGCGAGCATCTCCTCGACAAGTTGTAATTAGTGGGAAACCCGAGCCCCATAGAACCCCTAAGCCTGCCCTTAGGGCCCTAATATAGGGGCCAATAATTAGAATAGGGTTTCGGGATATATTCTTGCTTGACATGTCGAAACCTTTGCCCTGCCATGCCACGACTGGAGTGCATACAAATTTTACCCAAAGTGGCGGTCTGCGCATCACATCCACACTTTCTGACCCAGGTCCCCTGAGTGTGCGCATGTGTCCGGTGGGCAAAACCCTGTAAGTAAGCCCTAAACCCTCCGGTGGGCAAAGGGTGCCGACAAGTCACGCTCATCTTCGACGATCTTCATGCGGCTGGGAACCTGGCAGCTTGGGAGGCCCTACCTGGACCCTATAAAAATTCATGTTGAGGGCTCCCTACTATGATTTTCTTATGTACATCCTTAAAAGGTAGGATAGTTGGGGTCCAGGTAAACCCTAAGCCCTAAGCCTTTTGGAGGGTCTTCAATTCAGCTAAGAGTGCCCGTCGGTAGGAAGAGAAGCGGGAAGGTGCACTAATCTTTGCGAATCCCTAAGCCTAAACCTAACCCGGCAATGCTTCTCCTAAAGGACTCCTAAGTAATATCTGTAGTATAACCTACCTCAACGCCCTGTTCCTTTCTATTGAGGCCCCCCCCCCCCCCCCCC